AGGCCCCGCCCCCGCCCCGGCGCCAGGCCCCGCCCCCGCCCCGGCGGCCGGAGCCGCACCCGCGCGCCGGCCACCGGGTAGCGCTTGAGGCGGCTTTGGGGAGGGGCGGCTGGGGCGCGGCCCGGGGGAGCGGAGCGGGGGCCTCCCCGCATCCCTAACTAGCGTGGCCGGAGCGAGCGAGCGAGCAAACGAACGAGCAAAGCCGAAGCTTTGCAGTGGGAAAAGGCGCGCCAAATCGGGTGTTTCTGTGTAAAACTGCCCGTGCGAACAAAGCAGGTAGGCACCTGCCCACGCGCGGAAGCACCTTAGGTTGCTCCAGGAAGCTGATGATTTGATGCCACAGGTCTAAATAATGTCTTGCAGCCACTACAGAGAGCTCTAGGCCTTTTTTTCCAGTCTAGCCATGCTTAGGGTTGTGCTCCAAACCAGTGGTTTGCAACCTTTCCACAGCTGGGGAAAACAGGAAAAGCATCTTGGGGACCGCTGTGGCAGACCTTGGGGACCGCTGTGTATTAGTCTTGAAAGACAGTACCAAAAAGAAGAAGAAAATTCTGCAAAACTACTAGAAACCAAGCAACAAGAAATGCCAACAGAAGAACCCCACCAAGCCATCTCTCCCTGCTCCCCCTCCAGCGGCACTGGTGCACCCCCCACAAATGTGATGCCAGCTGGGGAAGAGGTGCTGGAGCACAGCCAGCCCCCACGCCAGTCCGTGGTGAGTGGGATGCCCCCCCCCCGCCCTGTCAGGTCGGCAGGAAATCTCCCACGGACTGGCACCAGTCCATGGACTGGTGGTTGAAAACCACTGCTCTAAACCAGTGGTTCTTGGTATGGGCTATATGCACCCCCAAGGAGCCGTGCCATATTGGGGGGGTGTGCAGTAAGTGCCATATTTCTAGGGCCCCAGTGAAGATGGTAAAGTATCTTTTTTTTCCAGCCATGCAGAATGTGGCAGAAGGAAATGTCCCGAAGGGGACCATGCGTAAATAAAGAAATAAAAGGTCAAGTATCACCGCCCCAAACAACCAAACTGGTGTGGGAGGTGGGTCATAGGAGTGAGATTCCTGTGCATTGCAGCATTCACTTTGAGCTGTGTTGCCCTTACCTTGGGAACGAACCTACTCTGGGGACGGAGGGCAGCACCATGAATAGCTTCCACAAAACGCAAAAGAAATGAGGAGGCTCACTGACCTAGAAGTCACAAGTCTCTCCCAAAAAGTGGCATATACATGTAACAGTTATCCTTATTCCAGTTATATCCTCACAGATGATGTTGCCAACAGTCTCCAGGGAATTATTTGCAAATACTGGTATTTAATAGAGGACTATTATACAAAGCATGCGAATGTGAGTAGATTAAAAGGTACTGCTTTGGTGGGAAGGCAACAGTGTTCCGTGCACTTCGGTGTTTAGTCATGCCGGCCACATCACCACGGAGACTGTCTGCGGACAAACGTTGGCTCCCTCAGCCAGGAAGTGGAGATGAGCACCGCCCCCGAGAGTCAGGCATGACTGGACGTAACTACAAGGGGAAACCTTTACTGTTACCTTACCCCTGCTCACAGAGGTCTGTCTGGTTATCACTGCATTTTTATACTTTACACAGAGGAGTTTTAATGACGCATTTTATGGTCTTAGTAGTTGAGACCTGCCCAGAGAGCTTCGCCCAGGTAATAAAGGTAAATGTGCAGCCTACTGCCTTAGCCAGCCTGAAAAACCAGATTTGAGAAAACAGCCTAACCCTCAGGTAGCTTATCTGTGTCTTTCTTTTCTGATCTGCCTCCTATGAGGATGCATCAGCCTTTCCAGAAGCAAGGCAAGAGAAAGTCCCAAGTGTGAGAGACCATGTCTCAAGAAATCTATTCTGGCTTACAGCTCATTTTTTGGAGAATGAATCATTCCTATTTATTAATTTCACTTCTGTACTGACCCAAAGTTAAAGCTCTCTAGGTGGGATAGAACAACGAGTAAACAGCATATCATGCATTTAGACAAGGATCAAACACAAGTGCCTAACGTAAAGGGCAATCCCATATACAGGGCCAAGAGTGAACATCTTTTTCAGTCCAAGGATTGAATTCCAATCTGAAAAGGAGTGGTTCTAACCAATTTTAAGCTACTCACAAGTCAGCAGATGCATGTTTACCAACAGGTAAGTAGAACTGCCCCTTGTGTGGGCATTCATAAATAAGCAGGACTGAATCTTTTGGCAGCACTTTCAAACAGCATCTCAGATTCCAGGTTTATGCTAACAGTGGATCTCTATTGGCACAATGAGACTGCCATGTCCTCTCCTCTCCTGGTGCCTTTGCCACAAATCTGTTCTGGGGGTCTCCCCCAGAGTAGATTGCAGGGCAGAGGTGAAATCCACTCATTAGCAGTTTCTGTTCTGCTGGTGGATGACCAACATTTGATCCAACTCTTAATTCTCCAAGGGAGAATTCTTATGTGGCCAAATTGGCACCATCTGTGCCCAAGATGGAGGTATCTGTAGGCTTAGGAGAACAGCAAGGTTTTCAGAAGTACAAAGTATCTTTACTTCTCTGCAGTGCTTTTTTTGTAAAAAAAGTGCTGGAACTCACGTCCTGGGGTCACGCTTTTACACTAAAAAAGATTTTCAATTCACCAACTTTTTTTTTTTTTTGAAATAAAGAACATATTTACCTTTTGCACGTAGCTAGTCACTCTACACACACATAAACATAATGGTCACCGCCGGCAGTAAGCACTCGGCACGCGACCACATGACCAATCCCAAGCTGAGCAGCGTCCCAAGCCGAGCAGCATCCGCACAATCAGCGTGGACACACAATCAGCCCACATGCACTATTTTAATGATCTTTGCTGCCAACCTGCTGCGCCCGACAGGGTGATTCAAAATCACTTGGAAAAATCCATCAAAAAAAGGTGCCGGAACGTGAGGAGTGAACATGCTCAGAGGTCACAGAATATTGAGCGTTTGTTATGGGGGAAGGACCAAAATGGGAGGGGGAGAAACTGGATGGAGAATCATAAAATAGTGGAGTTGGAAGGGGCTGTTGGTTCCACCTCTCTGCTCAATGCAGGATTCCAAGTTGAAGCATCGCTAACAATGCGGCTGTTCAGCTGCACCTTGACCACATCCAGTATGGGAGAGCCTACAAGCTCCTTGCATAATTGTTTCCATTGTCATGGAAGAGAGCACAGCTAACCATCTAGGCCCCCAACCGGAGCATGGAGCATTCCACACGCTAACATTTACTTGCAGATGCCCCTCAGAGGTGGACAACCTGATGTTCTCCAGAAGTTTTGGAAAACAACTCCTTTAATGCCTTTCCATCCTGAAGAGGGTTTATGGGTGTTGCACTCCAAAACATACAGAGGGCACCAGGCTGTGGGCATGCTTCATACATGGTGATGTTCCTATACAGAAGTATCTTTATAGAACATCTCCATGCACCAGGCACGCGGAGATTCGTTTCTGCCTTTTACAATGTGCACTGCCAGAATATAAATACATACCTTTATAATGGAGGTCACTTGAGTATTGCGCAGGAATCCATGTTAGTTCTATGCTCTTGGAGGATGCAGTGAGTATTTACGGGGCCATAGAAGACAGGCTAAATCAAAGCTTTGAACCAGCATCTTCTCTATCTGATCCAAATAGCAGCTTCCCATGATTGTGCTTCTTCTCTGCTAGCTGCCCAAGGATTATTTAAAGACCAAATTAGTAGAGAAGCAACAACACATTTGCTATATATTTAATTTAAAAATAATAAACAGCAGGGATTTCTGATCTAGGTGGCAATCAGAAAGATGGAGACTTTACCCTTTGGTGTTTTGTCACTTCAGCAATGAAAATCCCCTCTTGGCAATTTCCCTTCCATGGCAAATAATAGTTTTTGTGGGGAAAAGGGTTAAACCATTCCTTCCTCTGTACCGCACTTGCAATCTAAATTGGCACAGATCTTTGTCTGTTTGTTTTCAATTAAAGACATTTGATATCTTGTCTAATTTGGCCTTAAAAGCAAAGGGCCTGGCTTCCCAGTCCTGTCCAACAGGATAGTCACCGAGAGTATGGAGAAACTCTCTCCTGAAGCTCACCCATGTGCTTCCGTAGCACAAACTCACCTCCAAAAGGCCACCTGCAACCTGGGAAGCTGCAGAAAGCTCTCTGGGGCCTTGAAGAATGCTCAGGTCTCTTGCAGTGGTGGCTTGTGACCACTGGGCCTGGGAGACAGTAGATGGGCCGCTGACAGGGGCCAAGCCCAGATCACCTGGGGCAGAGCAGAAAGGTTGGGATTGTGCTGGAGAAACAGAAGCAGAGGTGTTCTGAAAGACATAAAAGCTGAGGACTTCTGGGGGAATGGTCACTTGATGAATCAGCAGTGAATGTTGCTGCTTTGTGCCGTATCTTGTTTGGGTGATTATAAATCCCCCTGAGGGGTATTTACCTCTCTAAATGACAGGTGAGTGTTAAGACTGCTCTGCTGCTCTGATTTCACTGAGATGGCTTGATAAGGTAATACTGGAAACAGGAAACAAAGTCCACCCTTCACACTCTTTTTCCTTTTCGCTTTCTTTTAGTTTTATTATTTCTTTTTATATCATGACATTTTGTGTGCCAAGGGAATAGCACACCAAGCTGATGCAGCTTGAACTCTTATGGAATTTTTGTTTGCATATTTTGAAGGGGCTCTGAAACAGATAATCTTTTGTAGATAGACGGCATCTTATTTGCAAAGCTGTTCGACGTCTCTACTCTAGAACTAAGCATTATGAATACTCTAAACTGACCTTGGTATGAAAACACTAGCTGGGTGAATTTTCGTGCTTAATTGTGCTTTTTGAATTGAGAAGGAGGACAATGGTGCTTTTCGGACAGCTGAGACTTGAAGTTATGCTTTTGGTTCTGATCC